TTGAGAAAAGCTCGGTAAGAGAGAGAGAGATCATGCATTTGTGACGAAGTAGGAACGGACAGAGTTAGGTTCCAAAAGATACAGCAGATGGACATTTGAAAGTAAAAAGTTATGTTGCCAGGTCATGAACAAATGCTGTAAAGTTGCGCTTCTTTCTAGCGTCATTGAGAAAAGCCGGTTGTATCTCCAGGTAAATCTGTGGAGAATTCTGTAGTGATATTATATTCAGGGGGTTTTTGTCCTCGAAGGGCAGAGTGGCTGAAAGTTTTCACTCCAATCGAGCAGACTCCACCCATTTCCTCAAGTTAATCCAGTCTGAAAGAAGCGATATGTAAGATTTTCATGTCATTTGATCATTAAAGGGCCCTAATCTGTCAAAAGGCATTAATAAAACCTGCTCTTTTCCAATACTTCTTTAACTGATAATAATAGTTCAGAGATATTTGAATTTCAGAATTACTTTTCCAGCCCCTAAATCTTGTTATTGTTTTCATTTGGATGTCCCGCCCTCCACCGTTTCACCAATCGGAAAATCCGTGATCCGGGCGCCAGAACTCACCGCGTGGAGCTAATCTCACTGGTAAAGTACCATGTGGCGCAGAACTAAAAAAGGTCTCGTTATGATTCTCAAATCATTAACGACAAAACAAGGAATAAACCCAGGATTTCTATCTTTGTGAAAAAGGTGTTGGTTTATGGAACACTGTCACAATCATTTGTTGACGTCCTGGCATTTCGATTTCTGAACGAAACATTTTTACGGTTATTGCACATTTTGTCCAAGACCAAATTTATGAAACACAATTAGTTATATATGGCTATTGTTTTAACACCACCAGCTACAGCACCACCCATAGCTTTGATTCTACATTAGACCAATTGACAATACGAAAAAACACTGTAAATTTCATATCAAATTTAGCTCATTTAGAAAAATAAGCTCTAGGTCCTGGTTAGACGGCTCTATAATACTCTATGGCTAATACACGCCTATGTACAGTACTTGCTAGACTTGTGTATAAGCCTCACCCGCTGAATTTGAAGAGAAAGTACATTTTTTCCACATATAGGCCACACTTGATTATAAGCCACAAGTTTTCATGTTGTAAAGTAATACTTAACAAACAGCTGATGCCGCAAAAAGTAGCCACACTTTGAGTTGCCTTGTGTATAAACTGTGCAATACAAATAGACAATATGAAAATGAGGCTTATACTCAAGTGCGGCCTATGTGTGGGAACAAAATGCTTTAACAGTCCAGCGAGTACTCTGTATTTTTCTTAATATTATCAAACTTGCTCCATAGGCAAATCATATTTTATATCAGTGAAAATTAAGGAAATATCAGGTTTTCACTGATATCTGTTTAAATGTCAATAATCGTGAATAATCTGTTAAAATATGGTGTTTTTATCCTCACAATGATGGTTTGAAATCCCGACTACAAACTGCGTTTTTGGTGTTAGCAGCCGTGGACTAATGGAGCGTACTACTAATACTACATGATTGTCTCTGACTCAAATAATGTATAGTAATTTTAATATAGAATCCACATAAAAAGAGTTTTCAGGAACATGGAAAAACTCATTCACATTTAGGAATTTAAATTATTATTTTTTTGGAAAGTTAGGAGGGGACGTCACAATGAAAAGTGGCACATAGTGGTGAAAGTCTAGTTTGGTCTCATTAGTTGCTGTGTTTAATTTAACTGAAATATATACTTGCTTGTTGTCCATGCTAGCTTAACACTAGAACTCCCAGAGCAGTCATTTTGACGGCTTTTAGTTTTAGGAAGAGTAATTACGGCTGTACCGTTATGGTCTTCCTGGTTCTTTGATTTCCACCAGTGAAGAGATAAGGCTGATTACCATAGCAACACACTGGTTACTGTCAGCAGTTAGCATTAGCATTAGCATTAGCCTTTCAAACGGTTTTTTCTGTATTTAAAGGTATATTGACCGGTTTTAGCACTTATTAAAGTGAGTAACAGAAAAAAGAACATAATAAATTGCATACTTTTAATAAATCCGGTGAGAAAGTAAAAATGTTTTTGGGGGGAATTGATCAGAATTCTATTGGTTTGAATAGGAGTTCTAGTAGTTTCTTGTTCGACTAAACTTTGCCTGGAGAAATGGATCAACTCAAGAATGCATTGGTCGATTTTTGCTTTTCCATTTTCAGTTTTTGGCTGATCATTCGTCATCCATGTTGTGACTTTCGCTTCAGGGCGACCATAAAACATGCGTATTTGCGTCCCCGAAAAGAACATGAATATTTAACACTATAATACATTGAAACAGCAGCGAAGTGAACCACAGCTGTACCAAACAAAATACTTTCAAAAAGCAACATTGAAGATACAAAAAAGCATTGTAGAAAAACAAAGGAGACATGTTATGCTTGTTTGGAGTGTTTAGTATTCAAGTATAGATCACTATTTTGCCTTGAATTCAATATATGCAACAATATTGATCTAAACTATGGGCTGTAAATGTTATGAACGGATTGATACAGGAAACAGGTCCATTGACTTCCTGTTCATAACTCCAGGAATCTACTGCTCCTCATAGTTGCATTTTCATTGGAGCAACCAGATTTTTTAAAAGTTGAAAAGTTGAAAATGGCTACTTTACATTGAACCCAATAGGACTTTGCCAAATAAGTAAAGATGAGAGATGGGCGGGGATAGGGGGTAGTTGAAACTGAATTGTTCTGATCACAAAGCCCAGACATTCTAGGATTACACAAACATGCAAGAATGAATCAAAAAAGAAGCTTCGTATAAGCTAACGGCACATAATATGTCCCCTTTAAAAGCAACAACAAAGCCTCGCAAAGCCATTCATTATTGCAGAGTTGCTGTGTTTCGCCCAAAATGTACAGAAATGTTGGAGAGTTGGTGACGTAAAAGGCTGCCCAGTGCGTTGGGTTTGGGTGATGCATGGCCACAGGTGTTGGTGGGCTACATTTGACTCACTCTAAACATGGACGGCCTGTTTCTGGACATCTGTGGCTCTGCGTCTGAGTCTGTAGTGAAACATTCCGCTCTCACGAATCCTTGGCTTTAGTTCTGTGCTCAAGAGGACGGCACAGATTGAATCTTGTGTGAAGGTAGTTTTGTGTCTTCCCTCGTGACCGCGGTGTCACTGATATTTGGTAATACTGTAGATTTGGGGCATGTGCTGCTTTTTAACACCAGGACTCCCTGAACTCTGAACGTACCAGAACTCCCAGAGCCGTCATTTTGACTGCTTTCATTCAAATCATGGGGATTCTGAGAAATTCCCCCCCAAAACATATTTACTTTTTCATCAGTTACCAGTAGAAGTAAGTCATTTATACAGTTATTTTACCTTTACTCATATTTTAATAAGTGCTATAATTGGTTAATACAGAAAACAGTTTGGTGAACCATGGCTAGCAGTGTGTTGCTATATGGTTACTAGCAAACTAGTAACCGTCAAATTGACTGCTCTGGAAGTTCTAGTGTTGTATAAGTATGTGCCAGTTTACCAACCTGGTGTTAAAGGGCCTATACTTGATATTTATCGACAATTTTGCTCATACAGTATGTACAGACTTATTATACAAGTGAGTTTTTGTGACCAACAATTTAAAAAAATGCATCAGTTTGTATTAAGTGCTTGTGTCAAAGTTGAAAGGCAAAATCCTTCTGTGGATAAAAGATTTAAAACCCTGCTTTCGCTGACATCAAACAGACAAGCGCCTCAAAACAACCACAAAAATGAACTTTGTCTAACAAGTCATGCAGCCGGTACTGTATGTGTTGAATATATTGCGTTCAGGCTCTTTGTTGCTAAAAGCAGTAAGTGCTTGTTCTTTTCAGTAGAGACTTTGTGCCATAGAGTTTTTGTGCCATTTTTTCAATACAAAAATATCCCTTTTTGTTCATAATCATTTCCTTCTTTCAATGACACATAGTTAGTTTTTCATAATCAGATAACATGGTGTTCCCCAGGGCTCTATCCTTGGGCCATAGAGTTTAGAGAAAATTGACGCTATGATACTTTTGCTTTAGCGTAACCAAAACCAATATTAATTATGTATGGGTGTAGTTTTTCACATTTTATTCCAATTAGGTCTTTTTACAGCAAAAGCAGCCGCACATAAAGTGAACCAGCTGTGAGTCCATCTGTTCAGAGTTTTACCAGCACGAACAGCAGCGTCTTGCTCTTAACCTCCAGATTAAGTCGTATCAAGGGATATTAACTGATGAAAATCCGAATGAGCATCAATTTACCAACACTCATTACTGTTCAGCACTTTATCTATTTCTATATATTTTTTGAGGACTTTTATGTTGGTAAAATATGGTGATAATGTAGTCCAACAAGGTTAATTTGGTCTTATAGTTTTTCTTTTTATTTAAGACCAGAATGGGTTTTTCTTACCTGTTTTATCAGCTGTTTTACATTGTTTTTGGTGCTATCATAGGGACTGAGGACAACAAACACTAACACTGGATCAAAGAGGCAATAGAAATACGGAAAACGTGCCCCCGGGACTATAAACCGGGACGAGGGGGCTGTTCTATTCTCACACACCTGGGATTCTCTCCTGAAGAAGTCAGACTGCAGATGGCGCTGTCGTCCTGCCTCTGGTGGTCGGACGACCGCGCCAAAAACGGTGTAAAACAGCTGACAAGACACGTCACAGGGACATCATGTGACATCACTCTGAGGAAGACTGAGCCACCGGTTCACACACTTTGGACTTAACAAAAAGAATCCACGAAAGTGTCTAAAAACGCTTTGGAAAACCAGAGACCCCAATTATGTCCAGCAAAAAAAGGAAATAAAAATGTGCTCAAATTAAGATACATTTACCAAATTTGAGCAATTTCGGACTTATTTTTTTTAAGTGAATTATGTTGGAATTTCATTGGACCCATCATGAACTAGCCTTGAATGCCCATAAATCTCAAATTACCAAATTCAGTGTCAAATACAAACCACTACCTTCTCTCCCCCTTTGGCCTCTCATAGCCCTCCCCAGTCCACGATGAGGGCCAGAAGAGGCAGGAGTGCAGCCCAGAGAGCAGGCCCGGCTCCTGGGGCCGCGCTGGGGCACAGGTCGAACAGACTCCCCTGGAACGGCATCTTCTTGGAGTCTTGTCTGAGCGTCTCCCAGATCAGCCTCACCTCGCCCGTGCAGTTGGCCAGAGCCTTGAGCGCGCACGAGTGGAAGTTTTCCCAGTGGCTTTAACAGAGAGAACAAGAGAACATCAGAGAGTTTCCTTCGGGATGAATAAAGCATCCATCTTTCTGGCCATCGATCGAGCGGCCGACATAGATACAGATATAACAGCGCTCCCTAATGGACTTGGTAATTGCCTTTCCACACTCTCCACAGTATAACGTCGTTGTGTCCTGAGCAAGCCGCAAGACACCCATATTCCTGAATGAGAGGGAAACAACCTTGGTTCATGAACAAAGACACACCTGTGCATTCATGTGCAATAATATCAGAATGTGCAATATGGGACTAGATGTGTCCACAGTAACTTTAGTCACTTTTAGCCCAGAGCCTCATGATGCTAACATGTACAGTAGTATCACATGATGCTAACATGTACAGTAGTATTACATGATGCTAAGATGTACAGTAGTATCACATCAATCAATCAATCAACGTTTATTTGTAGAGCGCCTTTCCTACACAAGGCAACGCAAAGCGCTTCACATCCCCTATCACATCATGCATAAATCAAACACATTAAGAGCACAAGATATATTAATAACATTAAAAATAAAATCACAAAAATTAAAAACCTTTAAACATTAAAATCCCAGATGGGACTAAAATCATAAATAGTCACAGTGCATTAAAAAGATTAAAAATAAAAACAAAGATGAAAAGATAAAATCATTCAGTTGTATATGCGCAGCTAAACAGAATTGTTTTGAGCCTAGATTTAAAAGATGCCAGAGTAGACGCCTGTCTCACATTCTCAGGAAGACGGTTCCAGACTCTAGCCGCATGAATCTGAAATGCAGTTTGCCCATGTCTAGTACCGACTCTGGGCACTAACAGGAGTCCAGTCCCTGTGCTCCTCAGAGTCCGGGTCGGTTCATATGGCACAAACATGTCGTGGATGTACCTTGGCGCGAGACCATGGAGAGACTTGTACACAAGTAAAGCTGCTTTGAAGTCTATTCTCTGAGGAACAGGAAGCCAGTGCAGAGACCTGAGAACTGGACAAATGTGGTCGCACTTCCTAGTTCTGGTCAGGACTCGAGCTGCTGCATGTTGAATGTACTGCAGCTGTTTTACAGCCTGTTTGGAGAGACCTGTGAACAAGCCATTGCAATAGTCTAACCGACTGGAGACAAAAGCGTGTATAAGAGTCTCCAAGTCTGCCTTAGACACTATGTTTTTAATTTTAGCAATGTTTTTTAGGTGGTAATAAGCTGCTGATGTTACAGATTTTATGTGGCTTTTGAAATTTAAGTCTGAGTCCATTATCACTCCTAGATTTCTGACCTGATTTGAGGGTTGTAGAGAGAGAGCCTGGAGGTGACAAATAACGCTCTCTCTTTGTTTCTGGGGTCCGAAAACAATTATTTCAGTTTTGTCGGTGTTTAGTTGGAGAAAGTTATTTTGCATCCAATCACCGATTTGCTGGACACAGTGAAGGAGCGAGTCCACTGGTTCATGCTCTCCTGCTGTCAGGGACACATAGACCTGAGTATCGTCAGCGTAATTGTGATAAGAGACATTATTACTGTGAATCAACTGACCTAGAGGCAACATGTAAATATTAAACAGAAGAGGACCCAGGATTGACCCCTGTGGCACTCCGCAGGTCAGGGCCAAGTGGTCTGAGGTACAGTTTTCGATCTCCACAAAAAACTTTCTGTCTTGTAAATAGGACCTAAACCAGCTTAGGGCGGTGCCAGCAACACCAACCCAGTCCTCAAGTCTCTGAATGAGGATGCCATGATCAATAGTGTCAAAAGCAGCACTTAAATCTAACAGAAAAAGGACTGAGACTTTTCCTGCGTCAGTGTTTAGTTTGATGTCATTTGTTACCTTTATTAGCGCGGTCTCAGTGCTGTGGTGGGGTCTAAACCCTGACTGGAACATATCATAAGCGTTATTGATTATAAAAAATTCTGTAAGTTGTTTATAGGCAACTTTTTCTAGAATTTTTCCCATGAAAGGCAGATTTGAAATGGGCCGATAATTTTTGAGTGCCAGGGCTTCCAGACTCCTCTTTTTTAGGAGGGGCCTGATGACCGCCGTTTTCAAGGCCATTGGGAATGTTCCAGATTCAAGAGACATATTAACTATTTGTGTAAGTGAAGGTAAAAGACTGCTCAGAACTGACTTGAGAAATCTAGGAGGTAATACATCCAGGCTGCATGTGGAGGAACTCAGACTAGTGATTATCTCCTGGACAGTTTCAATTTGTACTGGTGTAAAGTGCGTCAGCCCAAAAAGCCTCACTGGCGGTTGGATTATTATTTCTATCGTGGAGGTGATGGCGTTTTTGATACCTTGGACTTTGTCATTAAAAAACTGAGCAAACTCATTACATTTAGATTTGGAAGTAAGTTCTGATGGCATCTTAACAGGGGGATTCGTCAATCTATTTACTGTTGAAAACAGAACACGTAGATTGTTGCTACAGCTTTCAATAGTTTCAGAAAAGTACATTTCCCTCGTTCTACGTAGTTCCCTGTTAAAATTGCACAACGCATCTTTGAAGATCTCATGGTCAACTTTGAGATTTGACTTTCGCCACTTCCGCTCGGCCTTCCGGCACTCTCTCTTCTGTGCCCTGACCGAGTCTGCTTTAGTCCATGGCGCTTTTTGCTTGTTTGTAACTATTTTAACCTTTACAGGAGCAATTGTATCCAGAACATTCAAAACAGTGGTGGTGACAGAGTCAAGTAATTCATCTACAGTAACACACAACGTGTTCTCAAAGTTTGCCCTCCCCATGAACAGTTCGCCTGTATTATCATTTATGTGTCTTCTTCTAACAACCGAAGATTCAGCTGGTGGTTTACAATCAAGACACATGTCAAAAAATACACAGAAATGATCAGACAGAGCAACATTGACCACATTTACATTTGAAATATTAACCCCCTTGGTAATTAACAGATCGAGAGTGTGTCCTCTGCTGTGGGTGGGGCCACTCACATGCTGAGTGAGACCAAAGGTTTCCAGCACAGAGCTCAGCTCTATTGCATATCTATCATTAGCATTATCTACATGTATATTGAAATCACCTATAATAACTAAACCATCAAAATCTGTGCACACAACTGAAAGCAACTCAGTGAAATGATCAGTGAAACTATGGCATGACTGTGGCGGCTTGTAACACAACAATAATATAAGAATGGAAGAAGATTTCTTTTGTTCTATTTTAAAAGAAACATACTCAAATGATGAAAATTTCCCAAGAGACACTCTATGGGAGACAATACGATCTTTAAAAACTGCTGCTATGATTGTGAATGATGCCCCCCCCCCTTTTTATTCTCGTGTTTCATATTCAAATTTGAAATTTGGTGGTGAGGCTTCTATTAAAACTGCATCTCCTGTATTATGGTCAAGCCATGTTTCAGTCATAAACATAAAATCAAGATCATACGAACAATAAAATTATTAATTAAAAATGATTTGTTGCATAGTGATCTGACATTAAGTAGAGCAAGGTTAAAATTAATATCAGTGTCAGTGGGTTTAGTTGATTGATTACAAAGAACTGGAATTAGATTTCCAGTTAGGACCGTCTAACGCTGTCCTTCTTTTAAATTTGTGTTTATCAAGTTAAAACACATTTCTTGAGCTGGTGCGAATGAAACACACACAGTCACAATTTGTTTTAAAATGAACTCTGTTTGTACTTTGGTTTAGTTCCAGATGCATAACTGAGTCAGCACAGTTTACATGGCAGGACTAGTCGTTACACTGCCAGACTGACAGGTGTCAGTGTTTTTGCACACAGTAACTCACCCGTGCATGGGAGAGGATGATGAGGGGGGTGGTTGGGGCCTGAAAAGCCACGATGTAAAACAGTCACGCCTCTCCCTCGGGATGCACTGAACACATGGCGTAGGAAAGTCCGATCAACAAACGGTACCGTATCTGTTCGGGTGTACAGACCATCTGACGAGAGGCCACGTGACGCTTCAGAACAGCCAAAGATTTATCACAAAAATCAAGTTAAAAGTGCTGCATGTAGACTGGATCCACATGTTGAGCGCCACAACGCGACTGTACAAGCAGTCTCCCGGTTTACAGACGGTACTGTACCAGAGATAAAACACACAACCCGGAGGACTGGAGGAGCGAATAGATTCCCTAAAATGCTTCTTTTGACCTCTACTGCTGCAGCTTCATGTTCTGTATGGAACCCCACATGCACGATTATCCTTGGATTGGTAACGGGAGCAGGAGTGAGTGAATCATAGGAGGGAGATCGATAGAAGCAGTTCTGGAACATTGGCTCCGTTAATGCCGTGAGTGAACGCGTTAAAAAAGCGGACGTGCCTCACGATGGAAATGCTCCAACAAACAAAGTAGTCCGGGGCGAAGAGTGTACGTAGCCCCGCGGAGAGGCGCTCGTTGTCCGGCCCGGAAACCAGCGAGCTCCCAATCCAGGGTGAGTGGTGTCCGAACCATGGCGCGCAGAACACATGGAGAGGAGTGGGTGGTGTTGATCCCAGCTCCCGGCAACCCACGCTCGTGTGCTCGGGGCCTTAAGCCCAGAAGGTCGTGGGTTCAATTCCCACCTCTGCACCTTCTCCAACGACACCCCGATGACGCTGTTTGTTGTGTCCTTGGGCAAGACACTTAACCCCACTTTGCGCCAAAATCCCCACTGACAAAAAGATCAAGGCTATGCTCACACTCAGTAGAGCAGCCGTCCTCGCTGTGTACTCACCACCTGCAGAGGGTCAGTGAGGGCTTGTGCAATGTGACTTGGGTGGAACTCTGACTGCCACCCCCCTGAACCCAGAAATGACTAAAGGGTTAAAATGGTGGATGGAGGTCCTTTCTTGCGGAACCATGAGTTTAGGGTTGGTGTGGCCTTCCAACGGGAAAAATATGTTATTCTCAGACTCAATAATAGAATTCTCTTTTGTTCAGAAACTGTGCTCTTTGGAAAAGAATGATACTCACCTTCACTCCATCACACAGTAAGCTTCTGGGTCAGAAACATGAATGATTCCTTTTGCCGCCTGATAAGATGGCATTTATCACCTGTTGTCAAAACAAATTTAACTGATAAACACTTTTTTCTTGGTAAGTCAATGTAAAAAATTCACCTTATTGCCCGTAATATTTTCCATATCGACAAATACAATTTTTTCCAGTGACATTTATTCCCATTTCTCTCTCCACGTTAAAAAATCTTCTTCCTGCCATAATT